ACTTGTTTGTCTGGCTGTCCACGTGGCGCCTGCGCTGTTCGTTTGGAGCCTCCGCTGGTGCATGTGCGCAGCCATGCTTTTCATCCCACGCCGAGCAACCTTCACTCGCTTTAGATATTAGTCCCCCCAAAAAGTAGGATACCCTAAACCCTAACCTCCAAAAAGTAGGATTATTTTTCAGGACCCAATATGGTACCCCCTCAAAGCCTGTTTAGGGTTGAGGGTTTAGGGATTGGGGTTTAGGGTTTAGGGTTTTGGGTTTAGGGTTTTGGGTTCAGGGTTTCGGGTTTACGATTTAGGCTTTAGGGTTTCGGGATGCCAACCCCCCCCCCCCCCCCCTAACGACCAAACCCAAGTCAGCCCTGCGCCCACGACCCACAGCCGAAAAGGCTCGTTCGCATGGAGAAAGAGCTCGCCCCAAACCCCAAACCCAAACCCTAAACCCTAAACCCCAAACCCCATAAACCCTACATGCAAGGAATCCCAAAAACACCCTGGACCCTAAATTGCTACATCCCAGACTCTACGAAGCCTAAACACTCTTAAACCCTGGTCCTAAAATGTATATATATATATATACAGCATACATATATATACATATATATATATATACATATAGTATATATTTATATATACCGGACCCAGGAGTGGCCTAGGAACAAAAAGGGTACCATTTCTGGTTTTGAGGGGATTATACAAGGGAACCCCAACCCGAACCAACATGAAATAAGGGCCTAGGCCGGGTCCTAGATAAACCCTAAACCCTAAAACCCTGAACCCTAAACCCTAAACCCTAAACCTAAACCCTAAACCCTAAACCCTAAAACCCTAAAACCCTAAAACCCTAAAACCCTAAAACCCTAAAACCCTAAAACCCTGAACCCATACAATGGCAACCCTCATCCCTGAAGCCCTAAACCCGGAAACTCAAAACCCTAAACCCTAGAAGAACACCTGAAGCCATCAAACACGAAAACCTAAACCCTCAACTTATTCCCCTATATAACCCCCCACATATGCCTGAAAAAAAAAGTCTCTGTATACCGAAATCTCCCTAAATGACCCCATAAGGATCCCTCCTGTAGTCCCTTGACAAACCCTACGCCCTAACCCTAAACACTAGAAACCTCGAACTTTAATTATATTGGAGCTTCATCGGGCTTGTGATCGGGCTTGGCTTGAAAGTTTAGGGGTTCAGGGGTAATCAACACCTGACCTACTGTATAAATTGAGTGTAAACTAAGTCTTTTCCAGGGTTTAGAAGTGTTTAGCTTACGGCCTAGGGTTTAGGGTTCGGGGCTTTGGGGGCCTTCTGGGTTGACCTTTGTCTATAGGGCGATAGGGTCAAACGGG